GGGGGGGGGGGGGGGGGTAGGAACTTGGGAACCCCCCCCCCCCCCCCCCTATTACGAATTTCTGTATCCGCCCCTGCCTGCTTATCGATGAATCCACGATAACTTGAATATGGCATATATGAACATAGATGAGCACAATGACCAAATATGAAAATGAATGAAATATTTTCAGGAAAAGGAGATGGAGTCGACGACCCTAAAGGAACTGCAGGCGAGAAGTCACCTCAACAAGGATCTCAGTTCGTTTTTCCTTCCGTCTCTTCAATAATTCGTTCCCATTTTTAAAAATAATTTTGAATTATTACTAACGCCAAATCGTAAATGTTAATTGAAGGCCAAAAAAACGCCTCTAATAGATAATTAGAAGCAGTAGCATCAGCAATTGTTGGAATTCAGTGAATTGAACGTGGGAAAGTCGCGTATCCGCGATAGCTAAGTATTGCCGCTTCGGTCGCGGAAACGCCATTTAAATTTTTGGGGGGTTAGGTTCATCGTATTGCAAGATTCAACAGGCACTTCCGCGTGTGAACTGCTAAAGAAAACTCAATCCGAGCATGCTGCATGTCTCTACTAAGCCTTGTACTTAAAGGATTAACGGGTGACATGCACCAGATTCGTTTCACTTTAACCTGATTCCTTTTCATAACGGACGTCTATGGGAATGAGCTCATCCCTGCTGAACTGATTCCCATAGGGGACCATTGTGAGATAAGATTAGATTAGCTGAAACGGACTCAGTGCATGTCACTCGATGTGTTAATTACGGTTGAATCGTGGAACTGTTAAAATTGAAAGGCTCCAAGCTGAATCCATTCGAATTCCCAGCGCAAGAGAAACGAACTGAAAGAAAGGGCCGAGTGAAAAAAAAATCATGATTTTTTAAAGTTTTTTTTTAGTCCTTCGTGTCTTCAAGGTCCGCTTCTGTCCTTCACACGCGTCTTTCGCGACCCTTTTCCGTAGGTCGAACACGACGTCCAAGGTGATGACCGGATTGGTCTGCGCCGGCGCGGCTGTGACCGCCGGGATCGTCGCGGCGCCGATCGTGATCTCGGCGGTCGGCTTCACCACTGCCGGCGTCGCCGCCGGATCCATCGCCGCCGGAATCCAGAGCAGCATCGGAAGCGTCGCAGCAGGCAAGTATCAAACGTCAAAAAAGATTTTTTTATGGATTTTTTTTTTTTACGATTCCCCGCAGCTACCTTCCCGCAATGCGGCACGTCCGAACGCAGCACGCGTCCCGCGACGGAAGACGCGCGATTGAACGGGTCCGTGCGTGCATTTTCTCAAACCGAAGGGAAATTTTTTCTGCACTTGTTCTTGCGCTGATACCGTCCTTCCAAAAGGTTTTTAGCTCGGCTCTTTTTTTTTGGCAAATATAGAAGACCTAAAACCTAAAATGTTATTTCATTTCTCTTGAATTCGACTTAGAATCCTTAAAGGAGTAATATTCATTTTTCAGTTTTCAGAGAAATTCCCAAGAGAAATTCCCAGAGAAATTCCCGTCAGCTATATTGAGTTCTGAAAGAATTCCCAAATTTCCAAAAAAAAAAAAAATATATATATATATATTAAATACATTTATTCGACATCTACAGGGAGCAACTATACGCATTTCTATCATGGAAGTGCCGAAATGTGCCAAAAAGGCGGAATTTAATGCTTCTGCGCGTACTCCAGGTTCCATGTTCGCGACGCTGCAGAGCATCGGCGCGACGGGGGCGGCGGGCGCGTTCGCCACGGTGGCGGCGCCGGTGACGGCGAGCTTCACGGCCGTCGCCGAATACTTCCGGCGATCGACAAAAACATCCACCGACGAGAAAAAGTAGAAGGCAGAGGGCAAAGGAAATATCCAGATATTGTGTTCGGATGTGATTGTATTTGTCGAAAATGAAATATATCTGAATTATTTTCCCATATGGCTATTTTATACATAAATATTTGCAAGTGTATGTTTATGATTCTACGACTTACTGGATGAACAAAATTAGAGATTCTTCTTTTTCAATTAATTAAAAGTAAATATGTTTTTAATGCTTTGATTGACACCACAAAAAATACTTCTGGGGAGGGGAGAAATGAGAATAATAAAAAATAAATGATATAAATAAATAATAAACATTATTTGTGACTTGACTCTCACATGGACAAAAATCTTGTCCAGAAAAATTGCTAAATTTCCTCATCGTAGGATAAAAGATACAGCCGAAATTCAATTTCATGCTTTACAGCTATCTGAGATGTGCAAAGATCTGCAAGGATCTATCAGAGATCTGCGAAGGCCAATTTGTCTGGTTGAGTTACCAGCCCTCAATAATGTTGGATTACTGGAATTAAAATGTAGAAAACTACGGAATTGTTTCATGTTGCATTAGCTGCCGAATTTTAATGCTTCATTTTTTTTTGCCACGCCTTCTCGAGAAAGTCTTCTGCAGTGGATGGTGTGTTCCGCATGGAATCAGCCCGCTTTAAATTTGCGTGTCTTCGCATGACTTCATGAGGCTGAATCCCTAAGGTTCACGCGGAACGGTTCTGCTCAAGATTCACTTCTCCTCATACATCTCAGATCTCTTTGATATTTAGAGAGTGAGTTGGGAATCAGTTACCTATGGTTTGGATCTCACACCAAATGCGCATAACTCAAGTGACAATACCATACCAATATTTGCACCGATGCCGGAAGCAAAAGACTTACCCTTACCAAAACAATCCATTAAGATTCCTATAAGAGTGAACAGGAATACAGTAAGTTTTTATGATTTGCGAAACCTTTAGGATTCCGGAGGAATCCTATTAGGATTCACGCAGTGAACTTGAAGGATCCTGTTGGTTTAGTATTTGGAATTGGTCAAATCTTATAGGATCCAATAGGATCCTATACGATACCGATGAGATTCTATAATATACAATTTTCACATGGGTTTCCTATTGAATTCTTTGGGAAACTTATTGATTGAGATTGAGATTCAGCAAAGTGGTTTAACCTCAAGGAAGCAATGCATCTGAAAGTGACTGAGGATTTCCATATTTAACGGAGGTGAAATGCAAAGGTTTTCTTCATGATTTGTTCTGCTTCGATTTTGGAATCCCCGAAAAAGGTTTTTGATCAGGATTTGCAGGCCAAATCACTCGAACAGAAAAACCCAATGGTAAAAACTGAAGATAGCAAATTGTAAATCATGAATTCCAACCAACTTGATAATAATTTGACCCCAAAAAAGTCACAGGAGAAAAACTACATTTCTTTAATCAGCAGCAAGCTGCTCTTGCAAATGATGAATCAAGGTGAAATTAGCACAAACTGAAGGGCTTCCACTTTATTGAATTTCTGAAGTGCATTCCATAGATTCTCATTTGAAGGAACGCGAATTCGCGTTCGGATGCATCAGAACGAAGAATTACACTTTGGGTCGTTATTCTTGATGTTACTTTTTCTGACGAAAAAATATTTTCTCCCGTGCTTGTACAGATAGCGGTGAAGTCCTTGATTTTCAAAAAGATGATCATTTGGAATTTATGTCGGATTAATATATATATATTCTAAAAAGCCAACTGCTACTATATCACTTAAAGATAGAAAAAAAGTTCTTTGATATGGAATTCCAGGAGAGATAAGGTTATCAACGATCATTTCTCCGATGATGGAAATTCCAGTTGAGAATGAGGAATTAGGGAAACGAACGTTCTCCATTTCGTCAGAGGGACCTTGAACAGATTTCCTCATATCCGAGGCCGTTATAACCGAGTTCGAAGGTATTTGACATGGTTGTGTGTGTGTCTGTTTCGCCTTCCATTCTCGTCCCCGTTTTCGCTTCTCTCCTTTAACCCATCCCCTCCCTACGGTCCTTCATAACCTACTCGTCAAACGTGAAAAACACCTTTGTGGAATTTCGTCAGAGTTCGACGGAATTCGAAGGAAAATCGGCCGAGTTGTGAAGCAGTGCCACCATTTAATCCGCAAAATGAAATGTTTCCGGAATGCCACGGAATGGGCGTTGTGAGTGCAACCCAAGGGATCGAAACGTGGAAAACGACGCAGGACAAGGGCGATGCTTCTTTGAGGATGTGCGATGATAGACGTGATGAAGAAACCCCCGTTTGAAACCGGCCAGCAAATCCGCTTGGAGACCAGAATCCCGTCGAAGGAGTGAATCGTGACAGGAACCGACAGTGACAAGAACATATTTTCCGTTTCCCCCGAGTGACGTGTGTCGTTTCAGCACAGGGGAATATCGCAGTTCTGGTAACGGGGACTCGTTCCTGAGCCGTTGTAACACCAGGGACCGTCCGGATCGGTATCCGGATTCCGGCAGAAGTTGTGAGAAGGATACAAGTCGTCCGGGAACTTGAGGTTCCTGCTCGCAAACGTATCCACCATATCGTTCGGGGAGTTTTTCAACCACGGCTGGCAAGGGAGTCCCGATTTCGTCACGTTCTTCGTTCCTCTGTAATCCGAGCCCATCTTGCTCATCTTGCATTCCAACGGTTCTGCGAAAAGACGACGGAACGTTACGGGACCGAGACCAGCAAAGGGCTTCACGATCGATCGGAATCGAAGGAGACGGAGCGACTCCGACGAAAACGAGAAAAAAACACTCACCGACGCAATCGCCAGAGACTCGAACGTCGCATCGCTCTCCGTCGCTCTTCGGGCAGAAAGGAACGTCGCAATGCTCCCAGACCCGTCGGGTGCCGGAGAGCGAATGACAGTACGGACCGTGCTTGCCGTCCGAGGGTTCGGGGAAGCGACAGTAGTTGTGACTCCCGTCCACTTCGTCCGAGAACGCCGATAACGTTTCGTTCACCGTTTCCGTTTTCTGCACGACGGAGCCCGACAGCCAAGGCGAGCAAGGGAGTCCAGATACGGTCGCGTTCCGCCTTCCCACGTACTCGCCTCCTCTTTCGGTCAGCTTGCATTCCGGAGGCTCTAAGAGAGAAAAGAAATCCCCAAAGACTGCGAAGCGAAACATGGAACCCTCATCGGGACGAGAGACCGACTCGGATCGCGGCAGAAGGGGATGTTGCAGTACTCCCAACGGATGTCGGGGTCGGAGACGAAGCACCAAGGCCTTTCCCGGTACAGCCCTGGATTCCGGCAGTGATTCTCGTGGATCGACGAATTTCCGTTCAAGAAGTTGAGATGGTAATTCTGCTCATCGCGCCTGGAGAAATCCCAAGGAACGTCGCGACTCCGATTCGACCAAAAGAGGCAAGGCTTCCCCGTCTCGGTCACGTCCTCCGTCCCGACGTATTCCTTCCCCTTCTCCGAAAGTCGGCATTCCGGATACGATCCGGTTCCCTCTCCGACTCCTCGACCGTCTCGGAAGGGAACGTCGCAGTATTCCTTCCCCGCGCCGCTCTTCTCGGTGTAGCACCAAGGTGCGGCGTCTCCGCTCGGATTGCGACAGAAGTTGTGACGTTCGTCGACGTGATCCGCATCTGGCAACCCTGCGAGCTGCGCTGCCGTGCTCTTCCAGGGTCGGCACGGAACACCCGAAAGCGTGACGTTCTTCCTCCCGATGTATTCCCCGCCCTGTTGCGTCATCTTGTATTCCGGGGGAACTGTTGGCGAATGTGAGTTTGAGGTGAAGGTCATTATATAAATATTTCGAAAAGCCATCAAGAGTAGGAGACTAAATATACAATGAAGAAAATAGCCTTAACCATGATAATGTATGACAATAGTCGACATTACACATCCCATTTGGGAGTTTCTGTCAATACTGCATTTTTCGAAGCTGATTTCGTGAATGCTAAGAGAAAAGAAATTTGTTCGCGAGGGGTGCCACATTCACAATTTTTAGTAGCTCCTGCGATTGTGCCCCGTTTGAAGATATACCAAGAAAGATGCGCACTGAAAGTTTAAGGAAACGTAGAAACAAAATTCTTGACGTCAATTGAGACATGTGAATCCCCGTAGCAGATTTTCGGTTGTTGATCAAGTTAATTTTTAAAAACATAATTCGGAAAAATAAACCAATGATTACTTATCGTTGGGGTCAAACGGACACAATATTATGTTATTTCAGCGATGAAGACGTTTCTCTCGCGAAACTGTCCGTGTCTCGTGTGCGATTTCTGAGGTTTTAAAAATGGTTTTAAAAACACGGTCAATTNTCCCAAGGAACGTCGCGACTCCGATTCGACCAAAAGAGGCAAGGCTTCCCCGTCTCGGTCACGTCCTCCGTCCCGACGTATTCCTTCCCCTTCTCCGAAAGTCGGCATTCCGGATACGATCCGGTTCCCTCTCCGACTCCTCGACCGTCTCGGAAGGGAACGTCGCAGTATTCCTTCCCCGCGCCGCTCTTCTCGGTGTAGCACCAAGGTGCGGCGTCTCCGCTCGGATTGCGACAGAAGTTGTGACGTTCGTCGACGTGATCCGCATCTGGCAACCCTGCGAGCTGCGCTGCCGTGCTCTTCCAGGGTCGGCACGGAACACCCGAAAGCGTGACGTTCTTCCTCCCGATGTATTCCCCGCCCTGTTGCGTCATCTTGTATTCCGGGGGAACTGTTGGCGAATGCGAGTTTGAGGTGAAGGTCATTATATAAATATTTCGAAAAGCCATCAAGAGTAGGAGACTAAATATACAATGAAGAAAATAGCCTTAACCATGATAATGTATGACAATAGTCGACATTACACATCCCATTTGGGAGTTTCTGTCAATGTTACAGTTACTGCATTTTTCGAATCTGATTTCGTGAATGCTAAGAGTAAAGACATTTGTTCGCGAGGGGTGCCACATTCACAATTTTTAGTAGCTCCTGCGATTGTGCCCCGTTTGAAGATATACCAAGAAAGATGCGCACTGAAAGTTTAAGGAAACGTAGAAAAAAAATTCTTGACGTCAATTGAGACATGTGAATCCCCGTAGCAGATTTTCGGTTGTTGATCAAGTTAATTTTTAAAAACATAATTCGGAAAAATAAACCAATGATTACTCATCGTTAGGGTCAAACGGACACAATATTATGTTATTTCAGCGATGAAGACGTTTCTCTCGCGAAACTGTCCGTGTCTCATGTGCGATTTCTGAGGTTTTAAAAATGGTTTTAAAAACACGGTCAATTTATCATAATAATGTAAGTTACTCTCCCCTTTAAGGCGAAAAACGCATCCTCATGGTTTTTAAATATTATTTAAAGTATTATTTTCCTGAGATTACGGCACCAAAAACGACTCGATTACCGGAATTCAATTTTCCATCATTGAACGTGCCGAAAACTAGTGTTAATCCATAGGTCGGAGATTGTCAAACTCACTCGCGTCCGTCTGCGAACATATTCGGCAATGAAAATACCCGATGAACATGGCATCCTATCCGCAATGTATCACACACGACTCACGATGTGAAACTGATGGAAGACAAATGGAAAGAAGAGACTCCATCGTCTTAATTACCCGTATCCGTGCACAAGGGGATGTCGCAGTATTCCCATTTGACATCCGCATCGGCGACGAAGCACCAGGGTCTCTCCTTCCGCGACGGGTTCCGGCAGTAGTTGTGCTGGGACCAGGCATCCCGATTCAGGAAGTGGTCGTCGTACTCCACGGTAACGAGAAAGTCTTCTGGTTTTCCATGAGGCTGGGTGTCCCATCTCAGGCAAGTCTTTCCCGATTCCGTCCGCGTTTCGGTCCCGATGTATTCTCTTCCCTCCTCCGTCAAGCGACAATCTGGATACACATGCAGCGGCTCGCCTGCGAATTTCGAACCGACACATAGCAGTGGCAATCGGAATGAAGCAATGAGGAGCTCCTTCCTTTTCTGGTTACGAATAATTAGTCGTAACGAGCAACGACGAGTCGAAATGAACGGAAAAGCCAAGCATACGATGGATGTATGGAAAAGCGCGGAACCAGAAAGTCAGAAATCTTTTCAGCATGATCGTCTCCTCTTTCGTCATCTTCGCTGAAAATTTGGTTTTGTATAAACTCGATGCTTCCAATCCATTTAGCAGATTCCCTTGCGAAAAGGTGGAAAAGGAATCCTATAGGTATTTGAAATATAAAACATTTAGGATTCCTAAAGGAAACCTATAAGTTTCCCGTGTAAAGCTATAGGATACCGATAGGAACCTATAGGATCTCATAGGCATCCTTTAGGATCCTATAGGTATCTTATGAGATCCTAAAGGCATTCTAAATGATTCCCTGGGATCTTATAGGATCTGATAGGACTACTATTTAAGATTCCTATACATTCTTACTGGAATCCTATGGAACTGTTTCGTGAGGGTTATTTATTTCCTCTTCGAAAAATTTCCCGATATGTAACAACAATGACTCGTGATTAAAGAACCGTTGACTCATTGCTGTGCGTTCTCGAACATCTTCTAAAAGTTTCTTCATAGGAATTAAAATTACCTTTCACCTAGAAGTCCATATTTGAAGAAGTGGAATTTCTAAGACCATGATGAAGTTCAGCTTTATTGTCAATTTTTGCCTCTTTCAGCAAATTACTTCCAGGAAAAAAAAATTCAACTGGGAATCTTACAGTCAGGATTCAGCACCTGAACATTTAAGAACCTGAGAGCAATGGAATTTTCCTTTACAGTGGACTGCATCCTGTTGGAAGGAGCTGGACCAAACATCCGCCTCGGCGGAGGAGCATCGAGACTTGTGAAGAGGCGAGCCGTCGGAGAATCCCTTGGGATTGTCGCATTGGAGAACGACCGTCGCTTCCTTCGGCGCTGGATATTCTCCGTTCCAGTCCTCGTAGGAAACTTCTGCGTTCGGGATCGTCGGGTGCTCCGTCAGGCACATCCCTGCGAATGGAGGAATTGGAATCGGAATCAGAAGTGGAATTCGGGTCGATGATGTCGAATTCGATTGGCCTCACATCGAACGAAGGCGATGCATCCGTCGGATTCCACGAGGTCGCTCTTCCCGTTGAGTACGAGCTGGCACGATTCTTCGGATTCCCGATAGTTGAAGGCGTAGCAAGGCGGAGTCTGCGTGACGCATTCCATGGCGCAGGATGCGAGAGACGGCGTCGCGATCTCAAACGTGACACTGTCGTAACTCTGTCCCCGCCGTTCGCCGTAGCGGAATGTGAAATTTCCGGAGGCGACAACGTGCGAGACGAGAAGGAATAAATCCAGGATTCCAAATAGATTCTGCAAATAGGGAAAAAGAGATTTTATAGTCGGACTGTGTTATGAAGAAACTCAACATGAAAGTTTTTTTTCAATGAGAAGACGCATCCTGGAAAATAGAGTGATTCTTTGAAATATCTGATTTTGTCACAAGAACCAATTGGGGGAAATTAGTCTTCATGGGTGCTCATAACGATATTTTCTCACAAGGATGAGGAAATTATTTTCCTTGCGTGCCACGAAGAACCAACGTGAAGAAACGTAATAACCATTGTATGACCAAAAGTAATATCCGCTCACCAATTTCCAATCGCTTTCCCTTTCTACAGCCCCCTCCCCCTTGGCATCTCTACGGGACTCACTAACGCTAGGTCTAAGCCCAACCGACAGGGTGACTTCAGGTCACGCCAAGGCATACCTATTCCTTTTCAAAAGAAACTCTATTTTCGACTTATTGCGCCAATTAGGCCTATGAAGGTCAATCGTGGTCTTCGAGACGTCTTGATAAGGACGTGCGAAGTTAAGGTCAATCGCAGACCTATTCATACGTTCATGAACCGTTTCAGATTGGACATGGAACGTTCGGCCAATTAGGAGTTCCTGGAACCATTTCGAGCTGGTCTGAGTTTTGAATGCCCGCAAGCAGGATGGAATCCATTCTGTTCATTCTGGGATGTCAGGATGAGATATCTAAATTTCCCTCCACATCGATCAATAAGAGCTAACCACCGCTTCATTCTCAATTCATCTCATGAAATCAGCATAAAAACGTCTCATACATAAAAAAAAAAACAAGATACCGGCGTCGATTCGAATGTATTAAATCTGCAAAATTTCATCGGATGGAGCATCGAATAAATAACTTCTTTTCGTCATCTACGAGTCAATATCTTTCAATTGATTGTCCCTTTCCTCCGAAACCCCCCCAGAAGTGGGTAACGAGATGGGGGAAACGGAATGAAATTCACATCCTCAGATTCAGCGTTTTCCACAACCCCGGGGAGATGAAGCTTTAAATTTGCTGGAGCGATTCTATGGTGAAAGAGGAAGAAGTATGCTAAATTGCGTTCCTGATGATGCGCTCGGAGAGGAATACAGGGAGGTTGAATTTTGCTGCGGGAAGGGGTTGAAGAAAGATAATAGGCGCTTCCAAAGCATTTTGATCAGGAAGAGGTTGGTTGTTGATTCAGAGGGATTCTTTCTCACTACGTTTCGATGCCCCTCGAAGGAAACGGTTCCTTTTTTTTTAATGTCTTGTTGTTGGGAGTATGCTCTGTGATTGAAAACTGAGAGAACGGAGTCTCTGGATTCATGTCCCCCAGTCCCCGGCCTGACCTTTCGACCTGCGGTCGGATGTCCCAGCATTCTCGATTTTTTTTTTCCCCGTATCCTGGAAACCAGCAGACTCGGCAACTTCAATCAATGCGAATACGAAGACCATCTGTCGCGATTTCGTCAGATCGCTTCGCGGAAACTCGGTTCGTTTCTCGAATGAACTAATCGTGATGCCTCGAACGGCTCTACAGTAACGCATTGTCTCGTCGCCATCAAGTGAAGGTTTTCACTTTTACGGTCTAAACCTTTCTACGATGAGGACATCCCGATCTTCATGGATGATGAAGTAGTGCAAGAACCACTTTTCAAAAGGCTTCATCATTTCTTGAACAATTTTTCAAGGTCATTCCCTCTCATTCGACCAGCATGTTAAGAGTTTCTCCCTCCCTGGAATCACTCCTCCTTTCCTTTCCCCTTCTCCTTACCGTTCGTTGATGCTTTTCGGATTCATGCAATTCGAGAGGAAAATATCAAAAATGCTCTTTAACGTTTTGGGAACCGAAATCTTGGTTGAGAAGCATGTTTGGAAAACGCATCCCGAAACGTAGAAGATGCTTCTTGCCGATCACCAACGTTGCCGAGATCCCGGCGCTCGAGAGCGGTAACTCAAGGTGTATTTCACTTTTTAACGGGGGAAACTTTGAAGAGATTTTGAAGCTTTGCACCGAGTGCAATGCTCGATCTCACCTGAATCCTTGCTGCCACCATCCTCCGGGGAACCACCTCGTCTCGGATCAGGAAAGCACCGTCACTCGCCGCCCGAGCGACATCCGTCGGAATGTTCCCCGCTCCGATCGCCCTCCAGCTGCTCGGCCTCTTTCACGGCACCGCCGCCCGTGGCCTCGTTGCGCTTGCGCGCAACGGTCACAAAGTGAATCGTTCGAGTGTCTCTATCTTTGTTCTTCGCGGATTTTTGACAATGTGGCGCAATGGCACTGTATTGAATTAGTCGCAGTGTAATAATGGCTACGATTCCGAAAAAACCGATTGCTCTATCGACTATTAATGAACCCAAGAGCACTGGTGAAATAATCTGAGTGTCTGTCATCCTAGCGATTAAGCTATTATTCGGAGAAATACATGGTATAAAACTTTCTGCTTCAACGAAAACGGGGGTTTCTGCCTTTCTTTCTACGTGGCTCACCCTCACGTTGCAAGTGCGCACACAAGGCACTCCGTGATCGCCTCGCCTACAATCCAGACTTAACATTGAAATTGGAGGAGAGGACGAAAGATAGCCAGGGTAAGGTCTTCTTCAGGTCTTCAGGTCTCCTGAATACCTGATAGGTGTGCTTCCGTTACACCTCCGAAGCCGGGACATTCCTTCGTTCCTCTCACTGACATCCTCATCATGACTTAGTGCTACAATATCACTTAAAAATAGAAAAAAAATGCTTTCATTTGGAATGCCAGGAATTCCAGGAAAGGTAAAGTTATGGCTCGCCAACGCTCATTTTTCCTATGATGGAAATTCCAGTTGAGAATGAGGAATTAGGGAAACGAACGTTCTCCATTTCGTCAGAGGGACCTTGAACAGATTTCCTCATATCCGAGGCCGTTATAACCGAGTTCGAAGGTATTTGACATGTGCCAGGAATTCCAGGAAAGGTAAAGTTATGGCTCGCCAACGCTCATTTTTCCTATGATGGAAATTCCAGTTGAGAATGAGGAATTAGGGAAACGAACGTTCTCCATTTCGTCAGAGGGACCTTGAACGGATTCCCTAATAACCGAGGTTCCCTTATAACCGAGTTCGACTGTTTTGGCATGGTTGAGTGTGTGCCTGTTTCCCCATTCGATTCTCGTCTCCGTTTTCGCTTCTCTCCGATGACCCATCCCCTCCCTACGGTCCTTCATATCCTACTCGTCAAACGTGAAAAACACCTTTCTGGAATTTCGTCAGAGTTCGACGGAATTCGAAGGAAAATCGGCCGAGTTGTGAAGCAGTGCCACCATTTAATCCGCAAAATGAAATGTTTCCGGAATGCCACGGAATGGGCGTTGTGAGTGCAACCCAAGGGATCGAAAACGTGGAAAACGACGCAGGACAAGCCCGATGCTTCTTTGAGGATGTGCGATGATAGACGTGATGAAGAAACCCCCGTTTGAAACCGGCCAGGAGTGAATCGTGACAGGAACCGACAGTGACAAGAACATTTTTTCCGTTTCCCCCGAGTGACGTGTGTCGTTTCAGCACAGGGGAATATCGCAGTTCTGGTAACGGGGACTCGTTCCTGAGCCGTTGTAACACCAGGGACCGTCCGGATCGGTATCCGGATTCCGGCNTTGTTGTTGGGAGTATGCTCTGTGATTGAAAACTGAGAGAACGGAGTCTCTGGATTCATGTCCCCCAGTCCCCGGCCTGACCTTTCAACCTGCGGTCGGATGTCCCAGCATTCTCGATTTTTTTTTTCCCCGTATCCTGGAAACCAGCAGACTCGGCAACTTCAATCAATGCGAATACGAAGACCATCTGTCGCGATTTCGTCAGATCGCTTCGCGGAAACACGGTTCGTTTCTCGAATGAACTAATCGTGATGCCTCGAACGGCTCTACAGTAACGCATTGTCTCGTCGCCATCTAGTGAAGGTTTTCACTTTTACGGTCTAAACCTTTCTACGATGAGGACATCCCGATCTTCATGGATGATGAAGTAGTGCAAGAACCACTTTTCAAAAGGCTTCATCATTTCTTGAACAATTTTTCAAGGTCATTCCCTCTCATTCGACCAGCATGTTAAGAGTTTCTCCCTCCCTGGAATCACTCCTCCTTTCCTTTCCCCTTCTCCTTACCGTTCGTTGATGCTTTTCGGATTCATGCAATTCGAGAGGAAAATATCAAAAATGCTCTTTAACGTTTTGGGAACCGAAATCTTGGTTGAGAAGCATGTTTGGAAAACGCATCCCGAAACGTAGAAGATGCTTCTTGCCGATCACCAACGTTGCCGAGATCCCGGCGCTCGAGAGCGGTAACTCAAGGTGTACTTCACTTTTTAACGGGGGAAACTTTGAAGAGATTTTGAAGCTTTGCACCGAGTGCAATGCTCGATCTCACCTGAATCCTTGCTGCCACCATCCTCCGGGGAACCACCTCGTCTCGGATCAGGAAAGCACCGTCACTCGCCGCCCGAGCGACATCCGTCGGAATGTTCCCCGCTCCGATCGCCCTCCAGCTGCTCGGCCTCTTTCACGGCACCGCCGCCTGTGGCCTCGTTGCGCTTGCGCGCAACGGTCACAAAGTGAATCGTTCGAGTGTCTCTATCTTTGTTCTTCGCGGATTTTTGACAAGGTGGCGCAATGGTACTGTATTGAATTAGCTGCAGCGTAATAGTGGCTACGATTCTGAAAAAACCGATTGCTTTATCGACTATTAATGAACCCAAGAGCACTGGTGAAAGAATCTGAGTGCCTGTCATCCAAGTGATTACATTTTTCCTCAGAGGAATACATGGTATAAAACTTTCTGTTTTAACGAAAACGGAAGGTCTCGCCTTTCTTTCAACGTAGCTACTCTCCACGTTGCAAGTGCACACACAAGCCACTCCCTACTCGCCTCGCCTACAACCCACACTTAACATTAAAATTGCTACTTCTTTTCTTATCTTTCTTTGCTAAAAGATGCACCAACGCAATCGGCTCATGAAGAGTTTGGGAATAATACGTTCCATGTACCACTCTAGGGGGGTCCACTTTGGAAGTATTTCCCTCAGGGTTAATTTTTTATAAGTAGTAAGAGAAAATACAATTAGTAAAAGGATAATGTTCGAATTTCCAAGTTCCACCCTCTGGATCAATAATAGGATATGCGTTACGTCATCAGGAATCCTCAACATGATGCACTTTCTCAACGAGTTCCTTCTCGCTGCATTTAAGTGAGACACACATTTGAAAATTGGAACACCCAAACATTGGATCAAGTATGATTTTGAGCCACGCTCGGTATGAGGATCAGCTACATCGAACCGACCGGACCCGCAGATCAGGCAGCAGCTCGGTTCGCAATCAAGTTTCTTGCGATATTCATGGGTTTCGTCACGAGAGCTTAATATAGGAAAAAAAATTGATTTGAAAATGGGAAAATTTATTGTTCTCGCGTGCCACAAGGTACGGACGTGAGGAAAAGTCATAACCATAAAGAAATCGCTCTAAAGGATTCCTATAGGTTTTTGAAACCTAAAATGTCGATAATGTACTGACGGGAATTCCTGCACGAAACCGACTGGATCCCATGGGAAACCTGTAGGATCAAATAAAATCCGCTGCCTATTGGCTAAAATCCCTGTAAGATATTTTCGTTATCGAAGCTCTATCCATCACTTTGTGTTGCCCATTTTCTTTCGCCGTAAAAGACGCATGACTCCGAAAACCGTTTTTTTTCCCAACGGTAAACCGAGAAAAGAACAAAACGAAGCCTTTTCGTTAATCGACATTCATGCAATTTTCGCGTTGAAGAAACAGCGCGAAGCTACTCAATTCATCAACTCATTCTCCCAATCGCACGTCTGAATCATAATACGGGTCGTTATCGCCGATACGTTTAATCGTATCCTGGAAACGAACCGACTCGGCGATCCGAATCAATGCATATATGAGGACCATATGTCGTGATTCCATTAGGTTGCTTCTCGAAGACTCCATGTGCTTCTCGAATCGAAGAATGTCTCAAGCGAGAAAGAGGCCGAAGCTGAGAATTTGCCTCCCACCCGCCATTATTGTGGATTTGATGGCTTAGGGAACCATGCATTTCGAGGGGAAAACGCCCGCACTGTTCGTTATCAATCGATTTGAGACCGTATTGTCTGGGAATAATAATCGGCATAATTTCGTGAAAGCATGTTTGGAAATCGCTTCCCGGAACGTTTAAATTACTCCTCACCGATCACCTACGTTGCCGAGATCTCGGCCATCGTGTGCGTTAACTCAAAATATTTCTCGCCTCGTACGGTGAAACTCAGAAGAGATTTTGAAGCTGAGTGCAATCCTCGATCTCACCTGCATCCCTGCCTCCATCCTCCGGGGAACCACCTCGTCTCGGATCCGCAAAGCACCGTCACTCTCCGCCCGAGCGACATCCGTCGGAATGTTCCCCGCTCCGATCGCCCTCCAGCTGCTCGGCCTCTTTCACGGCCTCGCCGCCTGTGGCTCTGCTGCGCACAAAGGTGACAGGGGCAATCCTCAGGGAGTGACCGTCTTTTTTTTCGATTTGCGCCGATTTTTGGCGATATGACGCAACGGCGCAGTATTGTATTAGCCGCAGCGTAATGGTGGCCCCGATACCGAAATTACTAAATGCTCTACCGGCTAAAAGGATGTGAAACTTATTTTGCCCTGTTAAGCCTTCTTCCATACTTTTCACGTCTGAGGGCGACGACTCACCCCTTGCGGCCGCAGCAAGTACTCATATACATTTGTTAATGGATGAGGACTTCTGTAGGCATGCTACTTGGCATGGAATCGAGACTCATGAGCGGGAAATATTTTTTTTAACCAAATGATGGTGATTTATCTATGAGAATCCTATTAGATTTCTATTTTAAAAACTCGTATATCGTTTTATTGGATTTTTCCGTACTGGAGGCCAGGTACGATATCAAAGGTTAATGTTTCTTCCTCTTGAACGTGTTGCCTCGTGCCATACGTTGAGACAGCAGAATAACAAAATTTCCGTTTTCGGGCTGGATTCTTGAGACACGAATGCCCTCGTGATGAGGCCTAAGCGGGAATAATTAATTGCAAGGCATCAACTTTAACGATGCTTAGCCGACACGGTTCTACTCTCGCTAGACATATTTTCAGGAAACTTTAAATGTGCGCGAAATGATGCGAGGCGAATCTCAGAAATTTCACACAAACATGCTGCAGCAAAGCACAGCAATCAACTTTTTTTTTTTTCTTAAAAAGGAATTGGACATTGAAAATGGATGGGGGGGGGGGGGGCATGGCCCCTTCAAGGCGGATGCATTCCGTCTGCTTCGTTCTACGCCGTAAACCAGAGGAAAATGGGAAGAGACGTCGAGCAGACTCCTGTGGCTTATTGAACGGTCGTGGACGGGAAAGATCGAAACCACCTGCACGGAAAGGTGGCTGGAAAAGAAACGGTGCGGCACGTCCATGATCGCACCCTCGTGAAAACAGGTCGGGGAATCTGGGGGAACCGGCACGGAGACCGAACCCACAGTGACTCGTTTATGGGCCGTCTGTCTGATATGGCCGACAGAAATGGGGAATCGGCGGCGGGGGGAATCATCACTCTCTCGCCGTCGAAGGATGTTGGATGCCGGCCGACGGCGTCTTTTCGGCTCCAATTTATGGCTCGGGCGACGAAGCTCGCTGGGGTTCCTTCTCTCTTTAGCGCCCGTTTCCGCGTCTAGACGGATGATGGGCCGGATGATGGGCCGGATGATGGGCCGGATGATGGTGGCGTGGAAGGGGTCGAGAAATATTCATAGAGGGGGGATGACCGTAACAAAACAAGAACCGAAGGGACGGGACTTGTGCCAATTTAATGCACGGGAAATGGGGTTAATTATCTTTCGACTGCTGAGAGGCTTTCGAGGACTCAAAAACGTCATTGACCTTAGAGGGCAAGAAAAGTTCAAACGGAAAAGAGACCCATTTCAAGGAAAAACAAACAGACGGAAATGGAGTCCTAATCCTACTCCGGTCATTAATCCTGAATCTCTCTGGCTTTTTCTTCTCCGACCGTTTCCTCGACGGGGAATATTTTTTATTCCATTGGAGCAAACCCAATTTTCTCGGTGCTTTCTCAAAGTATCTCGTGAAAGATTCACACGGCTCCTGTCGGATTTATTTCCTTCTAAGACGGATGAAACGTTTGGAAATTTTTGAAAAGACATGCGAAGAAAAAAATCTGAAACGACCAAAAAATATGAAAAAATATGAAGCTGGAAACGGGAGAGCGAGCGATCTGCTGGCAGACGAGTGACCTTAAGGGCAAGAAAATATTATTGCTTCATCATCACAAGAAGGTGCCGCCCGCGTGATTCCGGGATTAGAGGAATCCTGCTCTGACGTCAGCGATCACAGGGGAGAGATTCCTCACTCCATCACTTCTTCCTCGGACCGTAAAAAAAAAGAATCTCCAAGGCTGGAATCCGACAGTTCCGTCATTCTCGACGTGAATTTGGAACCCTCGGACTCTTGGCATCGGAAGCGATTCCGCTCGAGATCGAGGCGGAGAGCCATCGCTCTCTTTCCAGAAGAGAATCGTCGGTGCGAAATCTTTCGATTTTCCGCTTCGAGCGGAAAATGCAAATTCCTCGATCGCGTCTAGCCCATATCGAGATGATGAAATTCGGCAGAGTTCAGAAGGAAGTCATCGACGACTCCAAAAAAAGGATTTTCTATGGGAGAAATTACACATTGCAATGTTTTCCGAAGGGCCCTCGGGATGGGCATCTTTAACTTTTTGGAGAAAAGGAGGAGACAAAGGAGGAAATAGAGGTTTCACTTTCCTCGACGTGACGAGAGACACCCTCCAAGGTGCGCACATGCGCGGGAGAAACTGTGGAATGGCAGAGCGACCACGAAGTGAAGGAGGAGACGGCATCCAGTTCCTCTCTCGACCCGAAGATGGCGGCGGAGGAGGAATCGAACGAGAGCCTTCACCTCGATGACGAGGCGACCTCGGTCGACCTGGACGGGGTCACGCTTCACTTCCCCGGGATGTTTCAGACCTTCGACTTCGGGATGGCCGTGATCCTCGCTCTCTTCATCGTCCTGACGGTCGTCGGGAACGTGCTCGTGCTGGTCGTGATCAAGGTCACGCCGTCCATGAGGAGCCCCATGCATCTCCTCACGGGGAACTTGGCAGTGAGCTACACCGTTACGGGACTCCTGGTTCTGCCGTTCTCGGCCCTCCTCCAGTTCGGCGGGGAGTGGAAGTTCGGCCATACGCTATGCCGGGTCTGGGCATTTCTCGACAAACTGTGCTGCGGGGCGACGGTATTGTCCCTGTGCGTGATCGCAGTGGACCGATACGTCGGAGTGAGTCGGCCTTTGGCGCACGACCGAATCATGAGTCGTTTCCGGACGCAATCGGCCATCGCCCTCACTTGGGTCATCAGCTTGGCGATGAGCCTGGGTCTACTCGTCGACTCGGAGAGGAAGCCGGTCGAGATGAACTGTTGCTCCGTGAGGGTCGACGCCACGTACTTCATCTTCAGAGCCATCGTGAATATCCTCATTCCTTCCGTCGTCCTCCTCGTCTTGTATTGGAAAGTGTATCGGAAGGCCGTCTCGGTTCTGAGGAGTCGTCGAGACGAATCGGATTGCGATTCCCTGAGGATCCGTCGGTGCGAGACGAGCACGACTTCGATGAAGCCTTCCCCGTCCGTCGATCGAGTCCGTGAGCAGAGCTTCGACTCCGGTTTCGGTCACACCGACCATTCCTTCACCGTCGACGAGGCCCATAGGAGTTTCCGTCGGGTCGCGTCGAAGGCGAGAGCCTGCGATCACAGGCATCTACGTTCCACCGTGTCGTTCGACGACACTCACAGGTGAGACGGGAACATTCCACTGAAAAATGTTCGCACGTTCACGGAACGTCGTGACGACCTGTGCACACCCGGGGGTATCTTCATCATTTCGAACAAGTTAGAGAAACTTGAGTTCCTGCCCTCTCGCGGTGAAAGCGATCGGTGTTGCCGAGAACCCGTCCGTAACGAAGCGCGTGGAATTTCTCACCAGATTCCTGCGTTTTCGAGCGTTACCTTCTCGAGAAAACGCCATCATCCGAACGCCTACGGTGACAAAAATGTCCACGGCAGAACGCCCGCTACATGGACATATGGAATCTTGCGAAGCTTTTCAGATTCTGCGCTGGATCGAACCGGTAAAATTCCAGCATCTCGGATCTTCCTTTGGGACGGAAGTCACATTTCAGTCGCATTCTCTCGCGCAGCGGCCCAAGAAGAAATTTTTTTTTCTATCGATCGGGGGACGCGTGTCGACGTGAGATCCAGAATTTTTTGGCACTCGCGCCCGTCAGATTTAGAACATATCATTTTTCATTCCTCGTGCCACGACTACTTCCCAACCGCAAAATGAAGCGTTAAATATCGAGCCTCTTGTTGCTCTTCATTATGGGTCCATCTTCTCGTTCGCAGAGGGCAATATTTTCCTTCTCGGTCGATCCGTGTCGTTTCCTTAGATCGTGAGAGGAATGTTACGTCTCTTTACCGAAGGAAGTGGACGTGCTATCCTGTGCAATCACCATGTGTGTGCCTGGGCAATAAATTATGCAGACCCAGGCAGTACTGCTATCATTAATAGTAATGCATGTGCCCCCCACCATGGGGAAACCCCTAATTAGTAATTGATTTACACCAAAATGCTGCGCCAATATTGACCCCGGTTGCCATTCCTATCCCTTACGGAAATGTCCTATAGGAAACTTATAGTTAATTCTTATAGGAAACCTATAGACTTTCCTATAGGTTTTTGAAACACGAAAAACTTATAGGATCCTATAGGATCTTATAGGAATCCTGACTCGATTCGGGGAGAATGTTTTGGGCTTCGAAATCCATTACGACGGAAAAGGCAACCAGGCCAATATCGGCGCAGCATTTGGTGTAAATCAATTACCGATCAGTGGGCTTTCCCATAGTAGAGCCACTTGCATAATTAATACTAGTACATCCCGGGTCAGCAAAATTTCTTGCCCAGGCCCACTTAAGTCGCTGGATTGCGCATCCACTTCTTTCGATTGAAAAACGTATCATTTTTCCCTCGACCTAAGAATGCAGAAGGCAGAACCTACGACCACGTCTTTTTACTGGAACTCCTTTTCGGTAAAATCAACATACGTGGTTTTCACAGGGAATATAGTCTTATTTCTCGCCTGGACTCCATGATTCCATCTGGAGGATGAGGATGACATATAAAGTAGTGTCGAAGTTTATTGATTGCTACAATGAGGCAAGGCGAGACATTTTGGGATGCACAAAACTCTCTTATTAGAGATGATTCCATCGGGAAGGCAGGGCTCTTTAGTGTTCTTTGAGAAATGAGAGAACCCCTTACCTCTATCTAGTGACCTAGAGGAGAACTTCAAACGGAACCCTATTGGCCTATAGGGTTCCGTATAGGTCCTATAAGGAACCCTATAGGCCCTATAGGAAACTATATAGGTTTTAAAGAGGTCCCAAACTGAACCCTATGGGGCCTATAAGAACCTATAGGATTCCTATATGATTCCTATTTTATCCTAAAGGAATATATAGGAATCCTATAAGGCATTTTCGTAAGGGAGGCCATCCACGGCCTAAAGCGTGAGGCCTACAAGGCTTTGCTATTTTAGGGCATTGGCTGTCATTTCATCTGCATAGGCTTCATACTTTTGGTGGACGATTGTTGAGAAAGTTCCCCGTGAATGCGCATCGTGTTTTCACCAATCAATTGCAGGTTCTCCACTCGAATACATGCATTGTTGATGTATTGGTTTACAGTGAAGCTAATATATTTCGGTCGGGAGAGGCGGTTCGCGACGCCACAACCAATACAATGCCATTCTGTCTGCGTTTTATGTCATGTCATGGTCTTTTTTATTCTTCACGATTGATGAAGTAAAAAATACTAACGTAATCTCTTTGTTTCATATGTCGTGCAAACTCTGCAAAAGCGCTCCTTTCCTCAACAATGACAGTGATAATCTTCGCGATGGTGTGATTGAACGAGAATAAGAAATGTTGGTGGAGGCTGCAAGGACGGCAGTGAGGTAGTCGCCGCAAATAAAACGATTCGAGTTGGCGCGGAAAAAACTGCTTCATATATTTGTAAGCATGCTTACATTTTCCTCCGTTAGACGGCCAGCGTAGCGGCCTGCGGCCGCTAGTCTTATACTTTAACTAGCTATGGTTGCGCCTTCGGCGCTCCCTTACCTTGGATAGTGATTAATTCATTCATTTTTTGCGATATGGGGAACCCTATTGGTTCTATAGAGCACCCTATACGTTCTATAGGGGCCTCTATAGGTTCTATAGGGGACTCTATAGGTCCCAAACTGAACTCTATGGGGCCTATAGGAACCTATAGGATTCCTTTAGGTTCATATAGGATTCCTATAGGATTCCTATATATTCCTAAAGGAATATATAGGAATCCTATCATACATTTTTGTAAGGGACCGTAATGACTTAGGTTTCGAAACCCAAAAAATCCTCCCCGAATCCTACAGGTCGGGAGTCCTATACGACCCAATAGGGAAGTCTATAGGTTTCTTGTAGGACATTTCCATAAGGGTAGAACAACGTCTAGTACAGGAGGTAAAATTTTCCTTGCATTGAATTTTAATTAAACAGGAAAAACATTTTAGTTGTTGATTCTTCAGCGTTTCGACGGGCGATGCCATGCAGCGGCCTCGACGCGTCTCGTTCCTCCCTTGGAAGATGAGCTTCGACGAGGTGCTCACGAGGCCGTGGATCTCCATCCTGAACGTCAGCTTCAGGAGGTCCAAGGACCACCAGGAGAGAAAAGCGCGGATGCAGGCGAAGGCAGCCAAGACGACGGCCGTCATGGTGGTCGTCTTCATCGTCTGCTGGTTCCCGCGCTTCGTCGTCCAGTCGCTCGGTGAGGACCTCGTTGTTCGCCTTCGTCGCGACGCTCGGGTTGACTACGAAACTCTCCGGATCTTCTTGTTGCTTGCTTTTAGCCGTCCTGCATCATATTGCAACGTAAGTTGGTTCTGTTAAGGGATTCTATGAGAATGCCATTAAATCAAATACTCATTTTAAAAAATGAAATTCGCGCTGTGAAGCACACGCAAGCTCACGTATTCACGAAATCATACGCAATTACTTGCAGTGAATCTTAGATAAGAACCCTTGAGGAAATGTCCTATAGGAAATGTATAGACATTCTTAAAGGTTTTTGAAACACGAAAAACCTATAGGATCCCTACAGGGTCGTATAGGACTCCTGACCAATAGGATTCGGGGAGACTTTTTGGGTTTCGAAACCCTGGCATTACAACGGGAATGACCACCGGGGTCGATATTGGAAATGTAAATTAATTGCCTAAAGTAGAAATTTTCCAATGGTATTTCTAGTACTGACTACACATGTATCACTTCTTACACATGCACCCATATATCGCCAAAGTGTGCAGTATTGCGCGTCCGTTTCATTCTCATTCTCTTTTTAAGGAAATGGCAGGCAGAACCTGCGAATGAATGCTTCTGATTTTGTTAATACTTCATCGCAAGGAGAATATGAGCTTATTTATGGCCTGGACGCCATAATTTCATCTGGAATATGGGGCTGACAAATAAGAAAGTGTCTAAGTGAATTCATTGCTACAATGAGGCAAGGCGAGAAATACGGGAAGTACAAAATCCTCCTGTGAGAGATCATTCTCTGGATAGAGGGGAGGGCACTTTTGTGTACAGTGAGAAATGCGAGACCCTTATCTCCATCTAGTGGCCTAAAGGAGAACTTCAAACGGAATCCTATAGGTCCTATAGGAAACCCTATAGGATTCTTAAATGTTCCTTTAGGATTCCTAAATATTCCTTTAGAATTCCTTTAGACATTTCATAAGGGAAGTCAGATGAGAAGTCCTCTATGAGAATTAATTACATCCTTCAGAATCCGCTATTCCTTCGTCTTAGCAATTTTTTCTTTTGTAAGACTTGGCTTGGATTTCGACTTTATGGAACGAAGAACACCGAGGCTCAAATGGCTAGGGCTTTCTTGAGGTGCCGTAGGCCGAAACGTGAAGCAAAAAAGTCTCACCTCGGGGAGGGGAAGACTCGTTCGGGAGATGGGGGTGAAAGGGGGTGGGTCAATATTAAAGAGTGCGTCCCTTCCTCGGGTCTCCACCGAATGCGTGAAAAGCAGGCTCAGGGGGTAAAAAGAAAGAAAGAAAGAAAGAAAAAATTTCCTGACCATATTGTATTTTTTGCGCATACGATGAAACGATTTTCATGGATGATTCGCAGCATTTAATGGTTTTCCTGAGAAACGAACTCAATGGTGGATGCGATCCGTCCCAAACAAGAAATTTTAAGCATATTCGTCGTATATGAGAAGGGTAAAAAAAAAGCATCTAAAGGGAATTTAGGGGAATATTTAGTGATAGTAAAAGACTCTTCCTGAACAAAGCCTTATGTGATTGGCCAATCGAGTTCCTTCCGAAGGAAATATTAATTCACTTCTCTGAATTTTTTTTTGAAGCAAATAATACTTTTTTTGCTCGTTTGCAGAAGGGGGGAAATTTTTTTTTTATTTCATTGCAGTCCAGTTCAAAATATTTCATTAGATTTCGTTCGATAATAGTTTTTTTAAGTAAATATTTGTGATTTTATCAGTTATTTGTAAAAAAGACTATCGCGATTCGAAAGCATTGGCTGAACATACCATTAGGCCGAGTGATGGGGAAAGTACGAGAATTTCTTTAATTTCATATCCAAACAGTGGAAAGTAACCTCCAAATCATTAATTCATTTGATTGCGACAATAACTCACCTATTAAAAATCAAACCGGGTTCATCAAGATTCGTTCGAATTTCAGATTGTGAACTTGTGGTCGACGAACTTCCAATAATTGACTTCAGTGTGAATTTCTTCTCAGCGTTGCTGTGCCCCCGGTGCGGAATCCCGGACCCGCTGCTGGCAGCGTGCTTCTGGCTGTGCTACTCCAACTCCTTGCTTAACCCGTTCGTCTACGCGGTGGCGTCCAGGGAGTTCTGGAGGGAGCTGCGGAGGCTGCTCTGCCGGCGCTGAAAGGAGGCAACATTCCGCCGCATTGGTTAAGAATGCAACCTCAGCTTTCTCTACCAATCGTCTCCCTCAGCTACCAAGGCTCCTTGTGGATTTGATTTTTTTTTTATCCCTCTCAGATCATCGTTCCATGAAGCGCTTTTCACGTGAATCTTCAATGTATTCATGTACAATCAATGCAAAGGTCTTGCGATCGTGACGTCTCTTGCCATTGTTTTATTTCTGGGTGAATTCATATTCATTTCTTTCTCTGACCGATCTCAGGCGATGGCTTCCTCTATTTTGGTGCCGAATGGAATCGGCAACATTACGTGTATCTCTCCGCGAGCGGAAGAATTGAGACGACGGCAGGGGGGAACGGAAAAAAAAGTGAATGTGCCAATTACCCGATCTAAGTATACTTTCGATTCTGATAGAAATATACAAACTCGGTCATAATAACTCGATCTGGGTCGAAGTGTCAAATCCAAATGTCAGATGACTCGATCATCGTAACTTCGCTGATGACGTCACGCTGCCATTGACAATCTGTCAATCCGTCAATCTGTCGTCTGTCGTCAATGATGGCTCCGTACTAAACTTCAATCATCCCATGTGTATTTCACTCGGACAGTTGCTCCATTGTATGTTTCTGGCCTTACCACCTCGACTGTTTGGCGACATGCCGTAGTAGTTATCGACGGAAACCTCGCGTCTTTCTTGCGAAAAAGGATTGGAAGATGGAAGAGAGTTCTCTTATGAAAATGTCTTATAGGATTCCTATAGGAACCTAAAGGAATCCTATAGGTTCCTATAGGCCCCATAGAGTTCAGTTTGGGACCTATAGAATCCCATATAGAACCTATAGAGCCCCCTATAGAACCTATAGAGCCCCCTATAGAACCTATAGAGCCCCCTATAGAACCTATAGAGCCCCCTATAGAACCTATATGTTCCTTATTGGACCCAAAGGGTTCTGTATAGGACTCGTAGGGTTCCCTATAAAACCTATAGGGTTCCCTATAGGACCTGCAGGGTTCGCTACAGGACCGATAGGATTTCCTATAGTGCCTATACGGAACCCTATAGGACCTATAGGACCTATAGGGATCCTATTGGATTCTATTGGTTTTTCGTGTTTCAAAAACCTATAGGAAAGTATATATATATGTTTCCTATAAGAAATAACTATAGGTTTCCTATAGGACATTTCAGTAAGGGTTGCGATGGTCCCAGGCCTTGCGTAAGGCGCTTTTACTGGATCGATGAAGACACAGCTCTCATTAGAATATGGGGTGACAAGCGTACCAAAGCATTCTTCGAAATTGGAAAAGTGAGGATCAAATAAATCTGGATATCCGATCTTTGGTTGTGATGGCCAAGAAAAGGGCGAGAGAAGACTGAATTTGTCGGTGGCAAAGTTAGATGTCGCTCTCAATTACAATTTCGGTCTAAGTATGAATATTCGATGAGTCCTAGGGGTCCTGGAGGGCTATCAAGTTATGATGATCTATCAGTTATGTGGGTCTAGGTATGGTTTTCGATCGTGATCGAAAAGTATACTTGGACCGGGTAATTGAGATAGAAAATTTCAGCTACAAAAATGACAAAATTCGAAAATTAGCGGAAACCACCGCAATATGATAGACGGTAATTCTGTCAGCACAGAGGGTCATGCTTAATGCGTATTTCTGATACCTAAACTGGCAATATTTTATTTACTAAATTCATGGTATTTACACCGACATACCTCGTATTCCCATGCCGATTCAGCACGCAAAAAATATGGTTAAATTTGCGAGGTGAATCTAAGACGATTTGTCTCCGAGTGAATCGGATTCAACAGTTGAGAGAAAGTGCATTGAGAGAGAGGAGGAAATATTATTATAAAAAGAGAAGAGGAGAGAAGGAGAAAATTGTATATTTTCTTGAACCCTCCCCCAAATTCGACTTGGTATTTTTCATGGGAAAATTTCCCTCGTCTCCTTATGACTTTGTTAACGAACTGGAGAAGGAAGTTCATTTCCTGTTTCATCTTTCGCGAAAGCAGATGGACAAGATGATAAGCGATTTTTTTTTTGCTGTGATATTTGGTGTCGAAAAAATAAATCAGCTTCGATAAAAAAAAAGTCGCAATAGGTGATTTGCTCCAACTGGTTGCACTGGTTGCTCCAACTGGTTGCACTGGTTGCTCCAACTGGAGATAGCCCTGCCTGCGTGTCTCGATTTATGCTACAGGGTGTTTCACAAAAAGTTTACCATTTTGAATTGCCATAACTTCTTGATCATAATGAGAATTCACTTCCAACAAAAATTAAATCGCAGGTAAGCTTTAAAAAAAAATTAAATCCTTGCGGAAAACAAGTTGGAAACGAGCACCTCGAGCCGCAGAAGAACCTTGAAGACGTCAAGAGAAGTTTTGCACTGCTGCCTTCAGTATTTCCTGCGGGATGTCTCGAACTGCCCGTCGACTCGTTCCCTTGCCATGAAGGCTTGCTTCATCCCCGCCGGGTGAAGGTCGAATGGACCGAGGTCTGGGGATGGCGCTGGCCGCCTGGCACACTGCCCGCGTTTGAGAGGCTGAGAGATTCGCTCGGTGGCTCATTTCTCGGCGAGATGATGTTGAGTGGCTGGCATGATCCCTAGGTCGCAAGGTCGTTTCGAACTTTTTCTCCGCTAGAACGAAAAATTTGTTAGCTTCTCTCTTTGATTTTGTTTTTGTTTGAAGTGAATTTTCATTATCATAGAGTAGTTACAGTATGGCAATTAAAAATGGTAAGCACGTTTGTGAAACCCCCATTTATAATTTCTATGAATAATTTTCAATATAACAAAATTACTTGCTATTATTATACTTCATCATGCGACAGTCAACTGAGATGCTTTAAGAAATGCAACATATTACTTGCCAAAAACCGCATTTTAGCGGCTACGAGAAACCTTTAGAGGTTGAACCCCCGTCCAGGAATTTCTCGCCGCAGTTCGAAAGAAAACGTCTTGGTGCAAGACGTCACATCATTTCCTTCTTCCTTTTCTCCCTTTCGAGAGGGGAAGACCCCGAGCCAAGAATATTTTTTTAAAGGCGATACTGCCGTCAAGCCGGGCTGATACGCAGTCATTTTCATATTTTTCTCTCCGGAAACGGAGCAAGAAATGCAAACATCGTTTCGTACAAGGTTAGCTCCATCGCTTTGTCTGGCCTTATTCTCACAACAAAAGAACAAGAATCCATGGATTTGGGTGGAGAAGGGAGGGGTGGGTGGACATGTGAAGCAATGGGTGGAGGGCCTGCATCGCGAAGGGGGCCACGAATCTTTCCTTAATTCCATAAAAAAGAAATTGAAACTTCACCCGGAATTTCTGCATGGACATATCTCCTATTTGCTAACATTGGTTGGAGTCAACCTCTTAATCTCGATCGCAACTCAGCTATTCTGCATCTGTTTAGCATCTGTAATAAGGATCGACAAATCCGCATTCAAGAAAAAATTTACGCAGATTTTCCGTAAATTCCTTCCGATAGGAATCCGACTGATTTCCTTTAGGTTTTTTTTTTAAGATAATATAATTTAGGATTCTCTGGAGTACCTACAGGGCCCTGTAGGAGACTGATACAGTTCCAATTTATTTGTCAAAGAATCGTATTACCCACGTTACACAGGGTGTGGACACCCTGTGTAGACACCCTGTGCGCACACCGGGAAACGTTAGTTATACAGTAGGTCCTCGCACGGGAATATGTTGATAGAAAGTTTAAAAACGGCCAGATTAACTAATTATGCTGGATTTAAGCCTCACTTAAACCAGAAACAGGGATGTTTATCCTATATTCACCGCATCCTAACCATCCAACCTTGAATTAGATATTAGATATTAATGGTTCGGCGAAGGCCTGTATGAGAAGGCCTGGACAGCGAGACATATTCTCGATGGTCCGCGCATCCGCGCCGCGTGGAGACTGGAGACGGGAGGGCAGAATGAAGTGCGGGATGCCAGATACGTCATTTCACGCTTTCGCCTAACAACCCTGTCTACGCGGCCGGGAGCAGCCGCTCTCCTCCATCGTCTACTATGGATCCGTCGACCGCCACGGCCGGAAGGGAAGTGGATGCTTCCGTGGAAGACGGGCACCCCGACCCAGACGGAAAGCTGCGCGTGCGCATTGGGTCGTGTTGTCCGGTTGGTATGGTTACTGTGGAAAGATGGAATAAAAATAAAAAATAAAAAAAGTGAGAGAACGACCGCAATATCTGACATTTCCTCATGGTACCTATGTGAATGCCAGATAATAATAAAAAAAAGACGGACAAAAAAAAGAACGCATTTTTTTCTGGAAAAACAAATAGACGGAAATGAAGTCAGTCCCACGACTAGGGTCATTCGTCATTCCCGTTGGCTTTTTCATTTCCGATCGGTCGCTCCTGTGAAAATTTTTCGTCCCGCGGGGCAGCTCCAATTATTAGATTTTTTTTCCCACTTCTTTGTGAAAGATTCCCAGGTATCTTTCGATTTATTTCCCTCTCAGATGGATAAGTATTGGACACGGCGTTGGAAAAAATAAATCGGGACATCCAAAAACCTGAGAGCAGCATCGAAACTGAAAACAGAAGGACCTGCGGATGACGTGATGAAAGGAAAACTACAGGGAGCAGCCGTTTTCTCTTATTGCTTCATCGTTTTTTTTTTAAATTACGATGCGATGAAGAGAGTCAGACAATATTTTATATCATTGACATTTTGTCTCTCAGCGCGAGAAAGTGCGGTCCATGCAATTTCAGAATTGCAGGCGGATATTCCTCCTCTGACGTCAACGAAAACTTCAGGATTAATCTCTCCATCTCCGCTTCCTCGAGGCGGAAAAAGAGATTTCATCTCTCTGAATGGAACCACACAGTTCCGTCTCTCCGAACCGGATTCGAAACCCTGGGACAATTCCCATCTGGGCCTCATCATCAGTGTGACCGCTTTCGATTTTCCGGTTTTTCGCAGAGTTGGATTTTCCCGTTCGTTTCGCGATGGTCAAA